CTCCTCTCCCTTGTTGGCCTGCTCCTCTTCCTCCTCTGATTTGAACTCCTCTTCCTCGTTGGCCTGCTCCTCTTCCTCCTCTGATTTGAACTCCTCTTCCTCATTGGCCTGCTCCTCTTCTTCCATGGCCAGCTCTTCTCCCTCCTCTATCTCGAATTCCTCTTCCCCTGAATCTGCCTTCATCCGTAGTGTTTGTTTGGAATCTTCAGCAAACTGCACTCTGAACTTGCTTTTGTACATGTGGTCACAGCATTAGCAACAAGTGTCTTCAATTTGGAGTCGTTGTGTGTAATGAATGACGCCAGGTGTGTTCATTGTGTTCAAATATTGCTGACTGTGGCAAGCATTTTGCACCACATGAGCTTTCATTTGAGAATATGAGCAGAGTTCTTTTGCAACTTGTGTTTTAGCAAAAAAAAAAAATGTGTTAAGATTTATGAGAACGGAGGATTGTGTTTTGTGAATTGTGTCTTCATGTGAAATGTGTTTATGATATTGGAAAATGATGGCTAGATTTAGTAAATGTGTTTAGACAACTGGTCATTTGGTTTAGAGGATTGGCTTTTGTGTTTTAGCATTTGAGAAAAACTGTAAAAGACAGGGGCCATGTACTGAAGGTCACACTCTGTCACCCTGTTAGTGCCGTTTTGATCCATCTGACAGCCGAGTTTCCTGTTGTGGTGATGACTCCAGTCTCCGGTGGCTGTCAACCTTTAGTCTTGTCTCTGACTCTGAACCAGTGGGAGTTTTATTGTTGGGCTCAGGCTTGAAGGGCCTGCTGCTCCTACTGCTACCTGCACAGGCTGATGGATTTAGCGCTCAGTCTGTTGCTTCTCTAACTCGTTTTCCGGCACTCAGGGGTTCAGCTGTCACAGTCTGAGTGCTCGCACTTCCAGTGACTCACTGGCCGAGCGCTCTGGGATCAGATGTTGGTGAAGCACATGGTTAGTGCACACTGGCTCTGTAATCTCCCGTCTCTCCCGTGTTTCCTCCTTCAGCTCTCCAGCAGCGACTCCTGCTCGGTGGTTTCCTGAAAGGACTCTGAAGTGAAGCTCAGCGGTCCCACAGATTGCTGTGGTCACAGTGAGTGTTCATGTTCCTCCTGCTGTCTGGGGGACTTGTTTGCCACATTGACTGATGGTCTGTTGTGTTGTTGTGTGGAAACAGCAGTTATTTAGTGTGTTCACCGATGGCCAAACTCCATAAATTATTACAGTAATTTATTTAGTGAGCAGGGGCATTTTGTGATACTGTGTCCATGTGTCGACACGAGTGTGCGCACTCACCAGACT